CTGTGTCCTTAGCCACTTACCAAGGGTCAGAGAGATGGGACTAGGAGTAAGCTTTTTATGTAGTGTGCGCATTAACTCTTTATCTGTCCTACTTAAAACTATATTTCCATTTCATGGCTTTCATTTGTTAAAAATGTTTAAATTGTGGTAAACTATACATAACATAACATTTACAATCTTAACTATTTTTAAGTTATTTTTAAAATATATTTTACTGATTTCTGAGAAGAAGGAGCGAGAGATAGAAACATCAATGATGAGAAAGAAAAATGATTGACTGCCTCCTGCACGCCTCACACTGGGGATCGAACCTACAACCCAGGTATGTGCCCTGACCGGGAATCAAACCATGACCTCCTGGTTCATAGGTCAACGCTCAATCACTGAGCCATGCTGACCAGGCTTAACTGTTTTTAAAAGTTTATTTATTGATTTGAGAGAGAGAGAGGAAGAGAGAGAGAGAGAGAAAATCTACTTACTGTTCTACTCATCCATGCACTCACTGGTTAACCCTCGCATGTGACCCAACTACAACCCTGGTGCACCAGGACGATGCTTCAACCAACTGAGCTACCTGGCCAGACCTACTATCTTTTTTTTTTTTTTTTTTAATATATGTAATTGATTTCAGAGAGCCAGACCTACTATCTTAACCATTTTATTTATTTATTTATTTTTTTAAATATACAGTAGGAACATTTATTTTAACACTTCTAAAAGATATTTCTCCATGCCTGATGATTTGATATAAAAATCAAAACTTAACCATTTTAAAGTGTACAACTCATTAGTGTTAAGTAAATTCACATTGTTGTGCAATCAATCACCAGGTCATGGCTTTCCTTTGTATATTTTATTTCATTTTTTATTTTTTAAATATATTTTTATTGATTTCAGAGAGGAAGGGAGAGGGATAGAGAGATAGAAACATTAATGATAAGAGAAAAATCAATGATTGGCTGCCTCCTGCAGCCCCACACTGGGGATTAAGCCCACAACCCAGGTATGTGCCCTTGACCAGAATCAAATCTGGAACCCTTCAGTCCACAGGCTGATGCTCTATCCACTGAGCCAAACCGGCTAAGGCAGTGATGGTGAACCTGTGACACGTGTGTCAGAGGTGACACGTGAACTCATGTTTTTGGTTGATTTTTCTTTGTTAAATGGCATTTAAATATATAAAATAAATATAAAAAAAATAATATATTGCCGAAACCGGTTTGGCTCAGTGGATGGAGCGTCGGCCTGCGGACTGAAGGGTCCCAGGTTCGATTCCGGTCAGGGGCATGTACCTTGGTTGCGGGCACATCCCCAGTGGGAGATGTGCAGAAGGCGGCTGATCGATGTTTCTAACTCTCTATCTCTCTCCCTTTCTCTCTGTAAAAAATCAATAAAATATATTAAAAAATATATATATATAAATCTTTGTTCTACTATGGTTGCAAATATCAAAAAATTTCTATATGTGACACGGCACCAGAGTTAAGTTAGGGTTTTTCAAAATGCTGACACGCCGAGCTCAAAAGGTTCGTCATCACTGGGCTAAGGCATGGCTCTCTTTTTTAGTTAATTAGTGAGTTTTATTAAAAAGAAGTTGAAATTTGTACAAATTCACTTTTTTTGTAATAATTACTATTATTTGCTTAACATTTTATGTTGATAATGTTCTTTTTTAATTTTTTTATTGATTTCAGAGAGGAAGGGAGAGAAAGAGAGAGCATAGAAACATCAATGATGAGAGAATCATTGATCAGCTGTCTCCTGCACGGCCCCTACTGGAGACTGAGCCTGCAACCCCGGCATGTGCTCTTGACCAGAATCGAACCCAGGACCCTTCAATCCGTAGGCTATGCTCTATCCACTGAGCCAAACCAGCTAGGGCGATAATGTTCTTTTTAAAAAATGTATTTTTATTTATTTCAGAGAGGAAGGGAGAAGGGAGAGGGAGAGAGAAATGAAACATCAATGATGAGAGAGAATCATTGGTTGGCTGCCTCCTGCACGCCCCACATCAGGGATCCAGCCTGCACCTGAGACATGTGCTCTGACTAGGAATCAAACCATGACTTCCTGGTTCATAGGTCAATACTCAACCACTGAACCACTCTGGCCGGGCAGATAATGTCCTTTAACATATATGATCTCCTTTGATCCTCATAAACATGCTTCTGAGGTAGATGTTATTCCCATTTTACAGATGATAAAGCTGAGACCAAGAGGTAAAAAGACCCAACAAACTTGGCATGTTTATCTCGGAGAAACGAAGAGCATCACCCAGATTTATAGGCTGAGGATTTAATTTATTTCAGTCGTTCATGAAATAAATATTACCTGAGTACCTATTGTATGCCCAGTGTTAGGAGAATGGTGTTGAACAAAATAGACATATTGCCTGCATTATGGAGCTCAAGGATTAGTGGGGAAAAGGGCATTAACCAACTAATCATAAAAATAATGAAATAATTACAAACTCTCATTGAAGAAAAGAATACCATGTTATGAGAACAATTTCTATATAATAGAGATAACAGGCCAAGTCCTAGGGTCAGGGAAGGTTTCCCCTAGGAAATAATTTCTGGAGATTTTTCTTCTTCTCTTCCACACACTCTGCCCTCAAGCCTCAAACTTCACAGGGGTGACAATGTAAAATGTCTTCATTTGAGAGACACCCAAGACTGAATATACATATTCTATGTGCATTTGTAAACCTTTCAAAATTATTCACCCTAACATTTCTATGTGTCTAGTCCATAATATCCTTTCATTGACATGATCTGACTTGTATACTGACACCAACCTTGCGAAGTAGGCAGGCAAGCATGACTATCTACATTTTACTGATGAAGAAAGAGAGTGTCAGAGAGGTTAGGGCCTGGCTGGTGTGGCTCAGAGATTGAGCATTGACCATGAACCAGGAGGTCACCAGTTCAATTCCCGGTCAGGGCACATGCCCGGGTTTCAGGCTTAATCCCCAGTATGGGTTGTAGGGGTCATGCAGGAGACAGCTGATTGATGATTCTCTCTCATCAATGTTTTTATTTCTCTACACCTCTCCCTTCCTCTATCTCTAAAATCAATAAAAACATATATATATATATATATATATGTATATATATATATGTATATATATATATATATATATATATATATGTGTGTGTGTGTGTGTGTGTGTGTGTGTGTGTGTGTGTGTATACTAGAGGCCTGGTGCACAAAAATTTGTGCACTGGCGGGACAGGGGTTGTCCCTCAGCCCCACTTGTGCCCTCTCATAGTCTGGGACCCTTCGGGAGATAACGACCTGCTGGCTTAGTCCCACTCCCAGGTGGCAGAGGGCAGGCCCAGTCCCTAGGTGCCTGCCCCGCAGCCTCTGGTTGGGCTCAGAGCAGGGCCGATTGGGGAGTTGGGGCGCTGCCCCCTGTCATGCACAGAGCAGGGTGGATCAGGAGGTTGCGATGCCACCCCAGTCCCGCTCAGGGTAGGGCTGATTGGGGGGTTGGGGCACCGCCCCCTGTCACACTCAAGGCAGGGTCGATGGGGAGGTTGCGGCGCCACCCCCTGTCACGCACAGAGCAGGGCGGATCAGGGGGTTGTGGCACCACCCCTGTCACATACAGAGCTGGCCGATCAGGGGGTTGGGGCGCTGCCCCCTGTCACGCACAGAGCAGGGCCCATCAGGGGGTTGGGGAGCTCCCCCCGTCACACTCAGGGCAGGGCCGATGGGAGGTTGCAGCTCCACCCTGTCACACAAAGAGCAGGGCCGATCAGGGGGTTAGGGAGCTCCCCCCATCAGGCATAGATCAGGGCTGATCAGGGGGTTGGGGCACCTTCCCCACTCCGCTGATCTCGGTGCCGGGAGGCCTCGCGGCTCTGCTGATCCTGGTGCTGGGAGGCCTCGCGGCTCTGCTGATCCCAGTGATGGGAGGCATATTACCCTTTTACTATATAGGACAGAGGCCTGGTGCACGGGTGGGGGCTAGCTGGTTTGCCCTGAAGGGTGTCCCGGATCAGGGTGGGGTCCCGCTTGGGTGCCTGGCCAGCCTGGATGAGGGGATGATGGCTGTTTGCAGCTGGTCACACCCCCTTCAGGGTGGGGGTCCCCACTAGGGTGCCTGGCCAGTCTGGGTGAGGGGCTGAGGGCCATTTTCAGGCTGGCGGATGACTGAAGCTCCCAACCTCTCCTTTTTTTCTTTCTTTTTTTTTTTTTATTCTGGGATTTATTTACCTTCTATGGCTGTCACTGGAGCTGAGAGCTGGCTTTAGCTCTGAGGCTCGGCTCCAGCTCTGAGACCTTGGCTGCTGAAAGCAGGTATCTGGGTTTGTTTGACTTCTATAATTGAAACCCTGTTGCAGCTCCAGCTCTGAAGCCTGGCTGGCTGAAAGCAGGTTTCTGGGTTTGTTTAGCTTCTATAATTGCAACATTGTTTCTTAGAGTGCAGCTCAGAGGCCGGCAGTGGCAGGCGGGGAACCTTGGCTTCCTCCATCACTGGAGCAAGCAAGCCTCCTGTTCGCTTCAGCTGCCTGGCTGCCGGCAACCATCTTGGTTGGCAGTTAATTTGCATATCTCCCTTATTAGCCAATAGGAAGCGTGTCGGAGGTATAGTTAATTACCATGTTTGTCTATTATTAGATAGGATATGTATATATGTGTGTATGTGTGTGTGTGTGTGTGTATATATATAATAGCTACCGAAGGGTTTTAAGCAGGAAAGTGGCATGAGAGGACAGAAAGTGGTGGTTTTCAAAGTATGGTCTGGGACCAACTACTGGGTCAGAATCTCTGGGGCTCGAGCTCAGGATACTTATGATCAGCCAGATTTGGGAATTCTTTACAGGTTCTAATGCAATAAAGAGAGAGAAGCACTGTATTAGAGGAAATGGTGCAACCAGTTACCATGACTAAGATAGTGGCTGTAGTAATCAGGTGAGAAGTGGTGAGGTACAGAGACAAAGGACTGCACTTGTGACTCATTTAGTCAAGGACTTCAGCCACATGTGACCCTTTCCCAGTGGCTGAGGTCAAGGTAGTGGAGATGATGTTCCTATCTAGGTCCTCTGGCTCCAGGGCCTGTGGGCTTTGCTGTTTATAGCTATATCTTGATTATAAATATTGCATACTAGTATTTAGTTATCTTAGCACTTGTTTTGCAAATCTTGTATTTATTTCTCACTCTCATAAAACCTAGGAGAGAAATAAGGGACAAACGAGTAAGGCCTTAAAAGGGCTGAGTACACAGGCAAGGACAAAGGTAGATTTGATTAGACAATCACAGATTGGGGAAGATACACTGCATCTCCCCTCCTATTAACCCCAAGAGGCCTCCAGGAAACCTGAAGACAATAATCCCAGAAGCCCAGAGGGTGACCTGCCCTGGGTTATTTCCTCCCCTGGGTTATTACTGGGTGTCAGGCTGTGAAGCAGTTCAGGAATTCAGGAAATTGTAAAGAAACCACAACAGCCTCAACAACCATCTTCTTAAACATCAACATCAACAAGCTCGACAATAAAATTCATTAAAATTCACCTCCCTGCCATCCACAACCACAGACCTGAAGGAGGCAGATGGCACTATGGGGAGGGAGAGGCTCTTTGCTGCTGCTTCCCCGGTCTGATTGTCTGCACCCCTGGCCTGAGTTTTCCAGGGTCTCAGGGAAGCGGGGAAACTGGTATCCCTATTTCTGGGTCAGGGCACCAGAGACCGAGGACGCCTCCACTTCGGATCCTCACTGTCAAGTAGGTCAGGATTAAAACAAACTGAGGTGAAGGTGGAGGTTGGCGTTCCTGGGGAAGCATGGGACGTCCAAGTACCTGGGGAGGCCGCCGGAGCCAAGCCAAGGGAGTGAGAGTGGAGATGTTGGGGTGGAAATGGGACGGGAAAGGCGTGGCGAGGGGTCCAGGACCGGCCTTGGGGTGGGCGTGTGTGTGGAAGGATGGCCAATCAGAGAGTGTGCTTCCGCCAAGGGGCGGGATAGGGGCTCGCCTGGGTGGAGATTGGCTAACGGCGCCGCGGCTTTGCGATTCAGCGTTATATACGGCAGAGGCGGCTGCGGTGCCATGGGGTCCGACCGCACTCGTCAGAACCGGGTGCTCGGAGTTCCTCGGGTCCTGGGTCCGTTCTGTCCCGCCCCCAGGTTCGCTCCTCGGGCCCCCAACCTGTGGTTCGGCTCCTCAAGCTCCCGGCCTTGACGTCTGCAGAACGAAATGGGCACAGTCATGAATGCCTCGGACGGGAAAGAGCCACTGCTCCAGCCCTACAGCTTCGAGCTGCTAGAGGACCCAAGGCCCTTTGTGGAGGAGTACTGGTGAGACGGGGGCAGCGGAAAGGCCACGATCCTGATGTCTGGCATTAGCGGGGGTGGGGGGACGCTGCCCGCAATGGCACCGGGCTCTCCTGTGCCGGCTCCACATTCCCGCTGTCCAAGGTGCAGGTAGTGTGGTGCCGCAAAGAGATTAGATCTGGAAGAGAGAAAGGGGGGGGGGGGGGAGAGAGAGAGAGAGAGAGAGAGAGAGAGAGAGAGAGAGAGAGAGAGAGAGAGAGAGAGAGAGAAGAGAAGAGAGAAGAGAGAAGAAATAAAAGGATGGGGTGCGGAGACAGAAACCCAAGGGAAAGAGTGTGTAGCGAGAGCTGGTCTCTGAGGAATGGGGTTGACTTGAACTCCTAGTCCCACCAGCCTGTAGACGATTCTTCTTTGTCCTTTGTGGCCTCGCGTGGCCGGGTGTGCCCGTGTACATAGTGCTGGTGCCGAGGGACAGCCTGCCCTTCACAATTACCACGTTGTTCTCCAAGTGTTTCATCTTCCCAGCTGTGGAGAAGGGGGCAAAGCCAGGGAGCTCTTCAACATTTCCCTCAGGCTCTCTGGCCTTGCCCTAAGGCTCCTCCAAGGTGTCTGTGGGCTGATTTTGTGCTCCAGCCAATTTGGTGGCAGCTACTTGCCACATTCTAATTACCCCATAGCCCTGTGTTGTTTCTAGACATGGGCCAGCACTTGTCACCCACTCCCAGCCCCATTGAGAGAGCAGTAATCACAGCACCCTTGGACACAGCCCCTGCCATGTGCTATGTCCTTGGCATATTTTTACTCCTTACCTGAGGAGATGTTATTATTGACTTGAGAAGGAGAAATATCAATGTGAGAGAGAAACATTGATGAGTGGCCTCCTGTACGTGTCCTGGTGGGGATCAAACCCACAACCTGGGTATGTGTCTTGACCAGGTTTGAACCCACCACCTTCTGGTGTACGGGATGATGCTCCAACCGAGTACATCTTAAGTACTTACATAGTAACGCTGTCAGGAGAGGAGTAATATTCCCCTTTTACGAATAAGGAAACGGAGGCTCTGAGAACAAAGTAGCTTTTCCAATGTCACAAAGCTAGTAGGTGGCAGAGGTGGAACTCCAATCCAGAGCACTCACTCGGGGAGATGAGTGGGTGTTTCTCTAACCAGCACCCACCCACCAGCCCCTCCCCTGTGCCTTCTGCCTCCCAGGACAGCCTCATTTCCCATCGCTCTGATCTACCTGCTGTTCATCTTTGTGGGGCACAACTACATGAAGGCACGGAAGGGCTTCAACCTGCAGAGGCCTCTCATCCTTTGGTCCTTCTGCCTCGCAGTCTTCAGGTAAGACACTCCTCACTTATCCTGTACACCCTAGACCAGTGATGGCGAACCTTTTGAGCTCGGCGTGTCAGCATTTTGAAAAACCCTAACTTAACTCTGGTGCCGTGTCACATATAGAAATTTTTTGATATTTGCAACCATAGTAAAACGAAGGCTTACATTTTTGATATTTATTTTATATATTTAAATGCCATTTAACAAAAAAAATCAACCAAAAAAATGAGTTCGCGTGTCACTTCTGACACACGTGTCATAGGTTCGCCATCACTGCCCTAGACCCTCACTCCATCCCCAAATGCTTTCTAGAAACCTCAATTGCATCAACTCTCCAAGTTGCCCCAGCTCCCCCTCTCCCATTCTCTCAGCTCTAGGGCCCCTCCCCAGCTTCCCCTCTCCTTCTTCCCCAAGCACCAGACTGGCAGTTTCTGTTCTCTCATGAGTCCTCTTGTGCTCATGGAGTCTGTATACTTCCGACAAATTTCTCCAGACTTTAAGATCCTCCAATAACTTCCCTAGCCCCTCCTTCCCCTATTTCCTCTCGCATTGGTATCCCCCATCCTGTCACCCATCTCCTCATAGGCTCCTGCCCATCCCAAGAATTCTGTTCCTTAACTCAGCTTTCAGTCCCATCCTCCAGCATTCCCTGGTCCTTTCCCAGCCCTCATCTCCTCTAGTTCGCTGGTTGGATTTACCAGATTGGCTCCAGGATCTCAGAAGCCATGACTCCTGGAAGGATGGGAAGGTGGCGGAACTTGGGTCCTGACCAGGCTGAGGGGGAAGGGTGGATTGGTGTCTGGGAATGATCTTACACCCTTTTCCTCTGTCCCATTTCAGTATCCTGGGGGCAGTGAGGACGTGGGGCATTATGGGAAATTTGATACATAGGCATAGCCTAAAGCAAACTGTGTGCTTCACCACCTCCCTCCACGAATCTGTAGTCAAATTCTGGTCCTGGCTCTTTGTTCTCAGCAAGATCATTGAACTTGGTAAGTGGCAAGGTTTTGTCTCTCTGGCACCCAGTCGACTGCATCCTTCCTCAGTTCCCCCCTCACCCATCACATGGAGAGTCCCTTCCCCACCCCTGGTCCTAACAACACCTCTCACCCAAGCCCTCTTCCAGATTCTCTGCCACAAAGACCCCTCTCCCCACCCTGAGAATTCCCCCTTTGCCCCCACATTCAGTGCAGAGGGTGGTCCCAACACTGGGTGGTATGTCAGCTATGACTCCCCATCTCCCAGGAGACACAGCCTTCATCATCCTGCGTAAGCGGCCACTCATCTTTGTGCACTGGTACCACCACAGCACAGTGCTAGTGTTCACAAGCTTTGGATACAAGAACAAGGTGCCTGCAGGCGGCTGGTTTATGACTATGAACTATGGTGTGCATGCTATCATGTACACCTACTACACTCTGAGGGCTGCCCAAGTGAAGCCCCCCAGGTGGTTTCCCAGGCTCATCACCAGCCTGCAGATCCTGCAGATGTTTATGGGAGCCACTGTCGTCATCCTGGCTTACACCTGGAGACAGGAACAGGGATGCCACACCACAACGGAACAATTCTTCTGGTCCCTCCTGCTGTATATAACCTACTTCATCCTCTTTGCCAACTTCTTCTACAAAACCTATGTAATGCCCAAGGTTAAAGACAAGACCAAGAGCGAGTAAAGGGTTGGAGAAAAAGAAGGGGCTCCAGGTTCTCTCCTCCCCGGGGCATGGAGGGGTTTGGTTTAGGTTTGGGAGAATGATTAGGAGGTTTTCCCTGCGTGGTTTCCCCACAGGATGTGTGCCCCAAGGTGGCAGGAAGTTATGACAGACAAGAAACGTCAACCATGGGAAGGGGATGTGGTGTAGTACTTTGATGTTTCTGTTTTTAATATGAAGGCCAAGCAGACCCTGAGATGGGGCTGGGACTGGGGAGGATTCCCACAGCCGAATTATTTATATTTCTATATAGAAACCTTTCTCTTCTTGCTCTATTTTTTAATTAAATATTTCAAGAAGACTTCTAGTTTGGGGGAGTTTGGGGGAAGAAGGGATCTGCTGTGGTGGGAAATGTCTGCTGGCAATGGGATGATCAGTAGGTTAGACGTCTAAGAGGATGTGTGGATGAGAAGCACACACGCAGACACTCAATAAGAATCCTAGTTTTGGTAGGCACTTAATAAATGTCTGTTACAGACCAGAATTTTATTGCTGTTAGAGGCCCAAGCCCCTCATTGGAACAGCGAGAAACAGGTGCAGAAAGGCGGAGTAACTTCTCTAAGATTCGTAGGCTTCCTAAGTTGCAGAAGTGACACCTGCAAGTGTGACAGACCAGATCTCCCAGTTATCCTCCATACGACCGCAAGGTGGCGCCGCAGCACCAACTTTAGCCAACGCCCGCCAATGGCTAGTCCCCCCAGCCATCCACACAGACACGCCAGCACGCGCGCCCCTCCTCTGCTCCTTGGCTTCCCCAGCCTGGTGTTAGCGGCGGAGGGGGACCGAAGCCCTAGAAACGTGGACCCTCACCTCTTCCTGAACACCCAGCTCTGTTTTGGATCTGGGGGAGGATGAGGGGAAAGGGCTCAACTGCAACTCCGAGTCATCAGGCCTTTCACGGTCCGCGCACGTTTATTTCATTTATCTTTGAAAATGATAAATGGGAAAGGAGGAGTCTGGAGAAGGCGGGGCGGGCCAAGGGTGAGTTGGCCCCCGGGAACTGGTCCCTGTGCCTGGCCTTAGTCCCAGGGGCGTGGACTGTGGGTAGGGCCCCGTCCACCCCTCGGGGCTGGGAGTGGGAAGGCTCTCTCTGGAGCTGGCCGTCTCCCTCCCCCCAGCTGCCCCGGCATCCCTAGCCCATCCAGACCACCCCAGCCCGGGGAGGCGATGAATGACCGACCCCGTCCTCGGGGCTGGCGACCCCGTCCTCGGGGCTGGCAGACCCGCTCGGCACTCATACGGGCCGCTCCACGGCGTACTGACATGGACTGAGGTTGGCTGCCGGGGGCGGCCCGGGTACCGCGGGGTAGCTGAAGGAGGCGTGCTGTTTGGCCTTGAGCCGCAAGCTGGCCAGACTGGAGTTACACGGGTCCCGATAGACGTAGGGGGAGGAGGCGGCTGCAGCAGCAGCGGCGGCGGCGGCAGAGGCGTAAGGGCAGGACACTGCTCCGGAGGACACGGAGGCTGGAGCCAGCCCAGGGGGCCCCCCGCCCAGGCCTTGCAGGGCCCCGGGCCCCGGCACAGTGCCCGGGGCGGCCGTGGCCGAGGGCACCATGGAGGCGGCGATGGAGCTGGGTGGAGAGAAGACGGGCTGCGAAGCCAGAGGCCCCACGTTGACCGAGTTGAAGGCGAACGGGAAGGTCTTGGCGGCGAGCGGCGGGCCGAGCGCCTTGGGTGGCCAGTTGCCGTAAGAGTAGCCGGGGTACACTTCTTCGTAGGGCGGCACCAGCCCCCCGAGCGGCGCCGTGAAGCCGCCCTTGCACAGCTCCGCCTGCTGGCTGCGCTCGCGCTTCCGCCACTTGGCGCGCCGGTTCTTGAACCACACCTGCGGGCGGGAGGAAAGGCTGTTGGACCCGGAGCGCAGCGGGGACCCGGAGCGGGGTACCGCGGCTGGGGGGTGGGTCACGCGGATGGGGGTTCGGGCCGGGGCCAGAGTTCGGAGGATTAACAACCCAGATGGCTGGAGACGGGAATGGGGTCGCGGAGGAGCGCATGGCGTCAGGGAGCTGAGGACAGAAGCAGTGGCGGCAGAACTAAGTCAAGGGCGACGGCGCGGGGAGTAGTCGGTCAAGGAGGCGTGGCGAGGAGGACGAGCGACCGTCCCAGGGGAGAGGAAGCGTGGGTCGGGATCCGGGGCTTAGGGACTTCGGGTGTCGGGTCCGAGGATGGGCAGGCAGGGCAGAGCCACAGGTTGCAGGTGTCTAAGCTACTCGCTAAGCGGCCCGAGAGGAAGAGCGGGGTGGGTTGCGGATCTGCGCGCGCCGTACCCGCACGCGGGCCTCGGTGAGGTTGGTCCACACGGCGATCTCCTCGCGCGTGCTCATGTCGGGGTAGCGGTTCCTCTGGAAGGTGGCCTCCAGCTCCTGCAGCTGCTGGCTGGTGAAGTGCGTGCGCTGCCGCCGCTGCTTCTTCTTCAGCGAGCCGTCTTCTGGGGAGCCGCCGGGCAGCGAAGCCGAGGCCTTCTCCGAGTCTGGGACCGGGTTGGGGCAGGTCACAGGGATTCCAGGGCTGGGGTACCCCCTTTACCGGCCACTGACTCCCACCCGGGCCCCACCCCCATTAGGGATGGAGATGTTATCTCCCCTACGCCCAGAAGGGGGCGCGCTCACCACTGTGTTCTTGGCCCTTGCAGCCGTGTTCTGGGAGTGAGGGGTGGGGAGTGCCCGCGTCTGACAGCGATAGGGCCGGGCTCCGTGCCTCCGCCTCGTTGAGCAGGCCGAACTCCATGGAGAGGAGACTCTGGAGGGAAGAGAAGACACAGACCAGGCCGATGGGGCTAAAATCTCCGGGTTATCCGGTTCCCAAAAGTGTTTCGCCACAGGTTCGCTGTCCCCTTTCACCGCCCCCAACATAAAACTACTCCTGTGTGGGGTGCCCTAGGATAGAATAGGGAAACAGCAGCCTAAGGGAAAAAGGTGTATATTCAAAAACTTCATGCACAGATATACACACTAGACTTTGTTTTGTTCACGGCCAGGCACCTAGAACTTTGCCTGATGCACAGTTGGTGTTCAATAGATATTTATTGAATTAATGAAAACCACAACGATTTGCACACCACATGCCATATACCATCCCTCTCACACGAATGCTCAATATTCCCATAAACTTATACATATGCCCCTCAGTCAATCATACCTAACACATAGCTGGAACCTCTGTTGCTCATTGAACCAGACCTGATACTTCTCCCATTAAGATAATCACTTCTGTCATATGAGTACTTACTGTGTGCCTTTATCTCATTATCTCTCCCCTCACAAGAATGCATCAATATTAAGTATGGTCACCTTGTTCAGATGATGAAATTGAGACTTGAATTTAAGGGTCACGGGGGAAAAAAGGGTCACAGAGCTTGTAAGCAGTGGAACTGGGATCTGAATCTGCTCTGGGAGACTCCTAAGCTAATGTTTTTTCTCCATTTGTTTTGTCTTTCTTCTTTATTTAAAAATGCATTTTTATTGATTTTAGAGAGGAAGGGAGAGGGAAAGGTAGAAACATCAATGGTGAGAGAAAATCATTGATTGTCTGCTTCCTGTACACCCCCTACTGGGGATTGAGGCTGCAACCTGGGCATGTGCCCTGACTGGGAATGGAACCATGACCTCCTGGTTCATACGTTCAACCACTGAGCCACACGGCCCAAGCTCCGTTTGCTTTTTCAAATTGTGTTCTTTAGGGCCTCTACCCAGAAATCCCTTCAGGGACTGGAACTCAGGTTAGTCTCAGGGATGGAACCCTAGCCTGGTCTTGATTTGATCTGCCACATCTAGGGTAGCTCTGCTTTTGACTGTTTTGTTCATGCTTCCTGGAGAGACTTCATTTGAAAAAAGGGGTTCCAGAATAAAAACCCCCGTTTGAAAACCACTAGGCATTCGGCTCTGTTTGATTCTATGCCCATCCAGGCACACTTCATATCCTACCAGTCATTGTTTTACTCACATGCACAGCCTCTAGTAGGCCCACCCGAGGCAGGCAGCAGATATGAGCTTCTGAAAACCCCCTTGCTGCCCTTACTTCCTATCCCAAACCTTGCCTGACATTACCCAGGAGCCTTCTTGGGTCCCTCTTCAAGTCTCCCCTGCAGGTATCTTTTGTTTTCTTTTTTTTTTAAATATATTTTATTGATTTTTTACAGAGAGGAAGGGAGAGAGATAGAGAGTTAGAAACATCTATGAGAGAGAAACATCGATCAGCTGCCTCCTGCACATCCCCCACTGGGGAAGTGCCTGCAACCCAGGTACATGCCCTTGACCGGAATCGAACCTGGGACCTTTCAGTCCACAGGCTGACGCTCTATCCGCTGAGCCAAACCGGCTTTGGCGCAGGTATCTCTTTTTTGCTGGCTCTCCCAGGCCCTCTCTGGTAGGAGGAAGGGAAAGGGACACTGGTGGGGCTCAAGAACTCTGGGTGCCTCTAAGTCAGAGGAGAACCAAAGGAGGGTAGGAACAGAGGAACAAGGGTGAGGAGCTGGCGGGAGGGGTCCATCTACCTTCCGGTTAACAGGGATTTAATACAGGCTGTGCAAGGTGGCATTAATGTGGTGGATTAGCCTAAGTTGAGATGTTTGTCACTTGGCTGCTCTGAATTTATTAGGAGCCTTTCTCGGGGAGGCACAGATGGGCAGTGGCCTGTATTTGCACATGGTAATGCCACCTTCAACCAGCTCAGAGAGGACAGCTGTCCCCTGCCCCCACCTCTCAAGTAAGATTGGGGTGGGACAGAGGTCAAGGCAGGAGTGGAGGAGCAACCCTTGTTCTTTCCACCGGCACAGGAGACTAGACCTTGGACCTTTTCCTAGGGTTAAAGGAGCAGTCCTGAGGGGATCTGGCAAGGAAGGAGGGAAGCCAGCCCAGGGTGGAGGTGCTCAGCTTACCTCGCTCAGGTCTGAGGTCAGGAGTCAGAGGCTTGGGGCTGGCTCAACAATGCTCTGGTGGAAGGGAGATGCCCTTGGGAGGGACCTGTAGCAGTCTTGACTAGAAGTCTTCCCAAAGAGCTGGGAAGGCACAGAACTGAGAGCCGGACAAAGGGGTGCTCTGAAGTCTCCTTTTACTTTATACCCAAGAGGACAAAGAAGGTAAAGGGGCTCCAATACATGATGCAGAGGAGACTAGACTTTGGGTGGTGACCCCACAATAGAGTATACAGATGTCTTATTATAAAGTTGCACACCTGAAATTTATATGTTATTAACCAATGTTACCCCAATAGATTTAATAAAAAATAAAATAAAATAAATATATATTTTAAAAGATGCCCTCAAAATGTAAACCATGCCTCTGATTTCTCCAGAGGTCACAGGAGCAACAAAGAATTGGGAAAAGAGACATTTGGGTTTGCCTGCAGGGAAAGCTAAATCCCACCATTGCCCTTTATCCTCCCAGTCTGCTTTGGCTCCAGACTTCTAATTTTCCAAACTCCC